AGAGCTCGAGTTGAAGCTGCTTCATCGAGCCCCTCATCAGTGGACAGCAAGCCAAATAAGTTTACACACAATTTCCTTAAGATTATATGGGCAAACGAACATACTAACTAACTACTAATACACTGCTTAAAGCATATTTGTTGACAATGTGTAGAATTAACTAGCTACTAAACTTAAATTGTAATAATTTAAAAATGTGTAAGTTTTCAATAATTCAATGTATTTAAAAAGACAGTTATTTATATTTTAATATTATATCATGCATATTATTTTAAAAACAAATCTAAATTAACATACTGTATATAAAATATATTTTTTGCTGAGATTTGATGATGTGACAATTTTGCGTCGTGATTACGCAATGACGTCATCGCACAATGACATCATAACGTCATTTAGCAACTTTTAGCAACAAATCGACCTTCCTTTAGCAACTTTCTCTGAAAATTAGTTGGCAACACATGCCGCCTTCCAATAAATAGACCAACTTCCCATTAACCACCGAAACTGTGTGGCAAGTCATACAATTAGACAGGTAAGTGTCATATTAAGTGCGCCTTATATCTTTTCTGTGTCCTTTCGATATTTTATTTATTTAGGTTCGATGCGGTGAAATATTAAATGATTGAATTTATGAAAAGATAGTGGTTACTACGGTGGCCGAGAAGTGCGAAGCAAATCACAATTCTGAAAACAAAATAACAAATTACAAATGCAAATGCAAGTCTAAAAAACAAAATAACAATTCAGAAAACTTAACTACTTTCTGTTGTGTCCAGTTAATCAAATACAACAGTAGTATTCAAATTGAAGTTGACTTCTAAATTTAATTCAACCTTTGCAGGTCTAGTCTTCCACCACCGCTCCTCCACTGCTAATTAAAATAATGGCAGCATCTCAGAAATGTCTTGGAAAAGGTAAGAAATCATTATGAGACACCAAAAAATTAAATTTGGAGCAGCATGTTTTTTTTTTTTTTTAAGTATTTTATTGTAGATTCAATGACTGAGCAGGATTGTGTTGTGTTTACAGTCTATTTATATAACATCTAGTCGATCATCTTAAATGACGTCTTTAATAAACATGTCCAGATGTGTCTTTGTTATGTTAGGAAACGGAGAGTTTCATTGTTATTTCATTGTGTACAAGAACTTGTACACGAAAACTTGACAAGTCACATATGGCCAGGTGTGTTTAATGCTGACGGCAGTATGACACTGCACTTTTATCAAATCACTACTGTCTACTGTATATGATATTTATGACTGTGCGGATTCCATACAAGTGCTGCGTCATGCGCTCGTGGAATCAGCACTGTCACAGATTGCATTGCTTAAAGGAGTCATACCAGTTATGCTTTAGATTTTAAACAAGTGTAATTTTCAAAATACGCCTGTGTTGTGATTGAGGAAGTGTTTCTATGAAAGGATTTAGCACTCGACCTTAAGAGTTAGTTTACAAGAGACTGTTAACTTTAAATTAATATATATCTCATATCTTAAAATTTCATCCACATAAGAGACTATTAACTTTAGTAAGTACACTATTAATTTTTTAATAATGAAAATGTAATGCATAATGACAACATCATGTGCAATGCTCTTGTTAACACTAAAAACCAGCTCATACTTGAAAAGACATTTTGGATCATTATAAACATGTACAAGTGACTCACATTACTATACATCAATGTCATCGCAGAGATGGTTAGATTAGTTCTAATATGATTTTTGTTTAAATTGTGCCACAGGAAGCCCTGCTCCTGGCCCTGTGCCAAAGGACCACATACGGCTCTACAGCATGAGATTCTGCCCTTTTGCCCAACGGACAAGATTGGTGCTCAATGCCAAGGGAATTAAGTGAGTACAAACATTAATGGGCATTAGTGAGTTATTTAGTTAGTATGAGGCTTTTTTGTTGTGCAGAGGGTGTGCATGACATTGCATGAATAAAATGATTTCAAACATGTTTGGGGAACAATAGTGTCTGCTTTGAGTGAAAAGAAAAGCCCCTATGAATAATTGTATTTTGCCCTAGACATGACATCGTCAACATCAATTTGAAGAATAAGCCTGATTGGTTTCTGGAGAAGAATCCTCTTGGTTTAGTGCCAGCGCTGGAGACCCCGAGTGGTCATGTGATCTACGAGTCACCAATCACCTGCGAGTACCTGGATGAGGTCTATCCTGAGAAGAAACTGCTCCCATCTGACCCGTTTGAGAGGGCCCAACAGAAAATGCTGCTGGAGCATTTCTCAAAGGTATTTCCCAACTCACTCCACAGGATATTATATATATATATATATATATATATATATGTATGTATGTATGTATATATGTCTTGCTAGATTTAATGAATTCAACGGTTTCATCAATATGAATGGATGCTCTTTTTAGGTAACTCCCTACTTCTATAAGATCCCTGTTGGCAAGACAAAAGGAGAAGATGTGTCTGCACTTGAAGCAGAACTTAAAGAGAAACTCGCCCAGTTTAATGAGGTTGGTTGAAATACTAATATCATAATTGAGTGGAATAAAGATCCAATATTGTATTTCTGATGTTAAACGGATGTCAGGAGATACTTTTCAGTTGAGTTCAGATCTCAGTTTCACATCCTGCTAAAATTGTGCTTTAATGGCTTTTTTCAGACCCTTGTCAACAAGAAGACCAAGTTGTTTGGAGGAGATTCAATAACAATGATTGACTACATGATGTGGCCATGGTTTGAGAGGATGGAGATGATAGATCTGAAGCAGTATGTTTTTATCTTCACATTTTTATCTACACATCTATCACATTTATTAAGTGCACTGGCAATAGAGAAAGAGAGATAGTAGATTATGACCAAAGTAAACAAATGCAGACATTTTACTCAATAAAAAAAGATGTTAATTTCATTTTAAGATTGTTTTTTTTCCCTCAAAAATATTTTGCACAAAAAAAAAAAAAAAAGAGTATTAAATGTAAACAAATTATTTAAACTAAAGAGGTAAGAAACTCAAAATCAGTTAGTGGATTACAAAAATTAAATTCAGTTAGACTTGTGCAAATGATTTCTTCGAATATTAACACTCTCTCTTCATAATTTCCAGCTGCTTGGATGACACTCCTCGGCTGAAGAAGTGGGCTGAACACATGTTGGAGGATCCCACTGTAAAAGCCACAATGTTCAGCACAGACACCTACAAGGTGTTCTACAAGTCCTACATGGAAGGAAATCCCGATTATGATTATGGTTTATAGAATAAATCATTGTTCTCTGGTAAAACACACCTGTCTGTTTTAACAGATATTAATTCAGAAGGTACATTAATATCAGTCCATCTTTTATACTGTGATCCTGATTAATATGAAAAGAGAATTTCATGCCTGGTATATCAACCTTTTTGTCTCTTTGTGGATATCAAAATTCATATTATTCATCTTATATAACTGCTAAGGTTATAGTGCCTGATTATTATTATTTTTTCTTTATCAGAATGAATTATATGCAACAACAACATTTGTCAGTACAACAACAACCAAAAATTGTCAGTACAATGAAATAAAATAAATAATGAAACACAAAACTTTCTGGAGTTCATTCAATAGATGAAATATTCTATACACTGTAAACATTATCTTATTTTTGACTAATCCATTTTTAGACCAGCTTCATTCTTTGATGGCCTGTAAGGAGATATTTCAGTATAAATGCTGTTGTTACTATACTGGAATATAAGTATGCCAACTGCAGGTACTGTCCCCCTGCTCAAGGTTTAACAAGGTTTTCATTATCTCAGTTCAGTGGTCACACCTCTCTGGAGTTTAACCTGCAGTGTTTGCATAAATGGCCCTAATAGCCCTAATCATTAGGTGTCCACCACTTCTCTAGTGAGTCACCATCATACACCAAGTTCTCAGGATTATATGTGATCCATAAACTTACCAGAAGCAGGTGCCACTGAGGTTTTACAGACATGGAGGAAAGATAACCACTTAAATCTGTCCTCTTCAGCTCACCATACCAGAGTAGAAGCAAATACCATGACAAGTACTAAATCTATATGAGTTTTTTTTTCTTCTGTTGAACACAGGTGATATTTTAAAGAATGTGGGGAACCAAACAGCTGACGGTAGCCATTGACTTCCATAGTGTGAAAAAAAACAAGTCTTAGTCAATGGCTACCATCAACTATTTGGTTCTTCAAAATATTTTCTTCTGTTTTCAGAAGAAGAAAGAAACTAAACATCATAGTTTTTTTTCTGCAGTAGTCAAAGTTGATTATAAAATGCAGTAAAGGGGTTAGGTGATCTTTCGATTCTTCACTTATTTGCTGAAGTGCTCCACCCTGTACAGAACAATAAAGCTAAAAACTAACAATGGACATCTGCCAGTTGCCTCTTAAATATTTATTACATCGCTAACCGTGACTTCGTACAACAGAAGCTTTGAGATGTCTGTGTCATAACCTATGAACAAGTGACCCTTGTGTTAGGGTAAATTCACAAAAAGATTTTTTTTTCTCCAGAAAGGTCTATACTGACAAACTAACAAGCTGACTCATTCTGCAGCTGTAGAACTGCAAAAGGAACATTTGCATGACTTTGCAAGACACCCACACTAACAACAGAAACATAAACAGTGAGCATTATGTGGAAACATAGATTAGATTATTGTCTTTTTATTTAATAAGATGTTGTACTTGACTTGTGATACAGATAAGAAGATAAAAAGTCATTACACAATCCAGAAATCAGTTGTCATCCCAACTCTTACGTCTGCAATACGATACAAGAAACTATATTGTGAATATAGTCATGTCTGTTGTTGTTAGACAAGGATTAATAAATGGTTAATAAAATGAAGTGAAATGGAAACTGGGGACCTTTCCTAGTTCAGTGGCCTAAATTGAAATATTATCTATGAATTAAAAAATGCGAAAAAATATATTTTTTTATGTTTTTAATTGTTGTGGGCTCCATACACTAAGAAATTATTATAATTAACTATTATGATGCTTGCAGGTCAAACTGTCCCCAACTGATTTTGCTACAGTTTATCACGTATCATACTATTAAAATACAAAATGATTTAATGACATTTATTTTCTAAATTTATTTAATGTTTTCATTTCACAAACAACTTTAATTCACTTTTCAATTTATAATTTATGTTTGTGCTTTTGGAGGCTATGTTGTATAACTGGAATAAATATTAAAAGTATTAAGAACACGCACTGTTTTTAAATCGTTATTTTATTAAACAGATTCTTTAATTGTATCCTTCCGCTAGAAGATAAAATCCCTGGAAGAAAAAAACGATCAGTTGTACGTAAGAGCGCGCAGTGATACCAGGAATATGTGTTCCGCAACATAGCTGTCACTATTTGGTCTGGTATGTTCATAGTTGATTGTACAGCAAACAGGTCACGGCATAATCAGAGAAATGCACAGTAAATCAGCACATCCGGAAATAATAGCAGACTTCTGAGCAGTTTATCATTTATAGTCGTTAAATAGTTGTAAAAATGAATATGGTATTTCTACTCTTCAATCGACGAGAAGTACCTTTAAGAACCTTTTGTAGTGAACAAGAGCTTTATTTTGAAAGTAACATGGGTGTAAGTTAATAGTAAGTATGTAAGAGGAGGAGTCATTATCTTCAGCCACACCTATTCTTCCATAAAAACTCAGCTTTCTAGCTAGCGGTTACTTCAGTCAGGTCAGCCGGTTCAACAGGTAAGCAAATGTTGAATTAATTTTTGTTTGCTTTTAGTAAAACATGTTAAGCATCTATGATAGCCGCAAAAGTATTTTTTCTTCCTCCAGTTATGTAACACATACAGTTTTTGATTCTTATGCATAAAACGCTTACGTTACTGTTTTTCTATTGTTTGTAGGCTCACCATCGATTGTTTCATTTCCTCCTTTAAGATCTTCTTTAAGTGAACACTCTGATAATGGCTCCATCTCCAAAATGCCATGGAAAAGGTAGGAGAAAGCATGGAAATTAGACTCGCTCACAATGCTTTCATTATTTGATCTATAACTTGTCAATGGAAAAGCATTCATAAATACACCCAGATATGAATTCACGTTCGTCTGCATAGATGTTCAGCTAGTTTCATTACCAACCCGGTTGCAGAAAACTCTCCCAGATGTTATCAGACCATGACGTTGCGTAATCATTGTTTAAAAAAAAATATTTCTGATAAAACAGATTATAAACTTTAAAAATGTAATTCATAAACAGTTAAGAACCGGGACAGCTTAGTGGACCACATTATGTTACTGATGAAATTCCATCCATATTATGTAAATAACTTTTTCATAGCCTATGTATGTAAATATGTACATTATTGTGCCCCATGTGTTTCATTGGTGTAACAGCATGTCCTGCTCCGGAACCAGTGCCGAATGGTCTTATTCGCCTCTACAGCATGAGATTTTGTCCATTTGCTCAGAGAGCAAGACTGGTGCTCACTGCCAAGGGAGTTAAGTGAGTACTAATGTTGACTAGTTGTGCAGTATTGGGTTACATGGAGGTTTGAGGTGTGCCTAATGTGTACATATGATATTTAGAGCGTAAATTAGATTTGCATTTCTTAATAACAATTTTTTGTTGTGGTTGCGAGCAAAATCACTCTTAAATATCTATCCACTAACTAGTAGGCCTATTGATTTTATATTCCTTTTACATAGACATGAAATTATCAACATCAATTTGAAGGATAAGCCTGATTGGTTTCTGGAGAAGAATCCTTCAGGGACAGTGCCAGTATTGGAAACCTCAAGTGGTCAGGTGATCTACGAGTCACCAATCACCTGCGAGTACTTGGATGAGGCCTACCCTGAGAAGAAACTGCTCCCATCTGACCCGTTTGAGAGGGCCCAACAGAGAATGCTGCTGGATCATTATTCAAAGGTAGGCAGTTTGTCATTTTGAAACATATACCTTATGTATCTTCATTGTTTTTTGATTCAAGTGAATTTATGCATTGATTTTTGGAAATTCACCCTCATTTCAGGTGATTCCATACTTCTATAAGATCTCTATGGGCAAGAAAAGAGGAGAGGACGTCTCAGCAGCTGAAGTAGAATTTACAGAAAAAGTCTCCCAACTACACGAGGTGGGCTAAAATTCCTACACTTTCTGAAAGTATACCATAACAATGTATTTACTGCTTTTTTTAAATACCTTTTTTCAGTATCTGGCGAAAAAGAAGACCAAATATTTTGGGGGCGATTCAATCACAATGATTGACTACTTGATCTGGCCATGGTTTGAGAGGGCAGAGATGATGGGCGTAAAGCAGTAAGTTTTTTTTTAATTAGTACATATATGCAATATATAATGAATGTATGATAAAACATACTGTACATATTTTACCCGACAGCAAGAGGAATAGTGTGCTGAGTCATAGAGGTTAAGTTAAACGGATATGAAAACAGTGATGAATGACTGAGATTAGTAAAGGTAGGGCTCTGGTTCCAGCTGAATTGAAAAGCACTTTGGTTCAGTGAACTTTATGCACAGTTGCACACAAGTACATGTCTTCACAAGTAAACTTCTTGTGAATGCAACCATCTTTTGTATGTAAAGCATAGCTTGCTTGTAAACCTAATAGTTCGGTGTCTCTATTTGTGTTTCAGTTGTTTGGCTAACACCCCTGAGTTAAAGAAGTGGATTGAATGCATGTTCGAGGATCCAGTGGTCAAAGCCACCATGTTCAACACAGAGGATCACAAAGTGTTCTTCAACACCTACATGGACGGAAACCCTAATTATGATCATGGTTTATAGAGTAAAATAACTCTTTTCTTAGTCTGAGTATTTTTATACCGAATTTATAGCCAATTGTGCTTTTAAGCCTCAGACCTTAGACTAGATCCCAGAAGGCCATGTAAAAATGGCTACAATGGGTATATTACCATGTCTGTCTTTCACACATGAATATAAATAAACCAAACATACTAGGGATGGAACGATTACCGGTTTCATGATAAATCACGATAAAATGCCCTGACGGGTTCTTTTTGAACATTTTCATCTATATTTAACAAAACCGTGATAATATTGATAATCGTGATAACTTTGGTCACTATAATCGTGATATGAAATTTTCATACCGTTACATCCTTAAAACATACATAATATAAACATTATATTTTGGACAAATCTTATATCCTTGTGTTTATTCCTTTAATCACTTATCTTTCTAGTAGGTCATGGGGTTGATTTCCAGAGAAATCAAGAACTGATAAAACATAAATGTGTACCTTGAATGCAGTGTAACTTGCTGTGGATAAAAGCTTTTGCCAAATGCATAAATGTAAATATAAATCTCTCTATATATAACCAGTTTCCTCTTTGGTCCCAAGTGAAATGCTACTGAGCCATGCACTGCATGTCATGGGGCTGCACAACAATATTGCTTCCTGGGAGGGGAAACTGCACAACTGCATACTGCATAAAAGTTTGTTTAGTGCATCTCTATTTTTAAAAAAAATCCAAGACAAAGACTACAAAGAGTAAAACCAGTGCAAAGTACAGAAAAGATTAAAAAAAAAGCCCTTTTCAAACCTGTGAAACAGCTTCTGCTTGGGCCTGAACATGCCACTGTGCACCATTTCTTTACATTATTTAGGCATTTCAACAATCACTTGTGTTGACATACAAGATCAAAACTGATAATACTGCTAAATACTCTGATAATTTAAACTCTTAACATGATATTACATAATTTGCAATAACTCATGGTTCAAAGATCCTGAATCAGCTGCCAGAATGATGATAAATAGCAAGTGGGTGTTTCTTCAACCATTTTAGCCCTGTGGACTTTAGGAAAATAAACTTTCTTAAAATCCTATTATTTTATAGCAGCAACGTCATTTCAGTCACATCTCAAATTATGTATTGTGTTTGGTAACATTCTGTGGTGGAAATTTCATTTTAAACTTTTTTTTTTTTCAGAAATTCTTTGTCTTGCTAAGGACAATTTCACAGCAAGCATTTTAGATATTTTAAATACATACTTGATTTCAATGTTTTCATAATTAAACAACATTACAGCTTGAAATGATGCATGATAAAAATAACTGTTATTAGGTGATATTTACCTTGATTTTCTTCACACATTACATCTACACTGTCCCCTTGGTAAAAACAAACAAACAAAAAACAGCAACTTTTGCAATAAACTTGATTATTATTATTATTAGATGCAAAGTTTGTTTATTGTTGTGAAAATAACACCAAAACTAAGGAGAAGTTGTAAAGTGTACAAATTTATATATTTGTTTTCATTTAAATTATTAAATTAATTCACTCTTTGTTATGATAATTAAAAAATGTAATGATCATATTTTTATGATGGATTTTATATTTTCAGATTGAATGTCTCAGTCTGGGACAAGAGTAAAACAATAATATATAT